GCACCGTCAAGATGCATGAGACGATGAGATCCGGAGACCACTCTTACGAAGTTGACAAGAATGGCCAGAGCCAACTCGAGATGGTGGCTACTCGCACCCCACCTAGCGAGCCCGAGAAGCAGCGGTTGGCGCCCATTACCAGCAGAGCTCCAGAGGTCCACGAGAAGGTGAGTGTAAGACCCTGAATGGTTGATCATATACTTATTCACCCCTAGATGAACGCAAGGCTGGCCATGACGCTTCTGTGCATGTCATTCCTCTGGATCGGCTCTCAGATCCCGCTCTTCCTCTTCGGCTCTGTCCTTCCTCTCATCTATCAGGATGTTGGTGGGGTTGATCGATACATCTGGTTCATCATCGGATACCTCATCCCCAATGCGGCTCTCTGTCCTTTTGTGGGCGCATTGTCCGACCTGTTTGGGCGACAGAAGGTGGCTATTGTGGGTCAATTGTGCCTCATAGTCGGGCCGATTATCACAGTGACTGCGCATACCATGAACATCGCTATCGGTAAGTACCGCAACCTTATTTAAAACATCACAAACCTAACGACTCGTAGCCGGTCAGGTCTTCTCGGGAATTGGTGCCGGTCTCAATGAGCTCATCGCACTCGCCGGCACAGCAGAGATCGTGCCCATCAAGGATCGCGGCAAGTACGTCGGTCTTGTCGTGATCACCATCCTTCCCTTCTGCCCATCAGTGTTGTGGGCTCAATTGATTGCTCAACAGAGCAATTGGCGCTACAATGGTATTCTGGTTTGCGTATGGAACTTTATTGGGTTGGTACTCTGTGTCTTCTGCTACAAGGACCCGTCGCGCTTGACGGAGGAGTATACCGCCCGCCATGTCCTCCGCCAGGTCGACTACATTGGTGGCGTCTTAAGCACATGTGGTATCACTCTCTTTATGATGGGTCTACAATGGGGTGCATCACAGGTCAGTATACTATCCGAAGCAGGTCACATTGCAGTGCTGACATTCTACAGTATGAATGGGGCAGCCCACACAACATCGTCCCTCTCGTTCTCGGTATCATTCTCATCATCGCCTTCTTCGTATGGGAGGTGTATGCTCCACACCCCATGGTTCCCAGGGCAATCTTCCACAAAGCGAAGCAGACCATGATAGTTATCCTTCTTATCACATTCCTCAGTGGTGGAAACTACTTCGTCCTGCTGCTCTTCTGGCCTACTCAAATCTACAACGTCTATGGTAAGCATGACCTACGAATATCTCTCCCACTATTTCCATACTAACATAAGTCTAGGTGATGACCCGGTTGGCGTCGGAATCCGCTCTCTTCCCATCGGCTTCGGCATCATTGGCGGTGCATGCATCTGCCTCGTCCTCATCCCCGCCACCAAGGGTCGCATCCGCGAACTAATGATCTTCTTCACGGCCATGATGACAGCCGGCACAGGGGCCATGTGCATTGCGACACCCGACAACCTGAACGTAGTGTACGCCCTCATCTCACTAGCATCCATTGGAGTTGGCGGAGTCATAATTCCTTCCTCCATCATCGCGCAGATCGCCTGTCCGGACGAACAGATCGCAACCATTACAGCCATCACACTCAGTATCCGCTACCTCGGTGGTGCGATTGGTTTCGCAGTCTACTCCAATCTCTTCTTCCGCAAGGTCACCATCCACCTCACTGAAATTGTCGCGGAGAAGACATTGGCGTATGGCGCCATCATCAACCCTCTGTCGGCCGACGGAATCGCCGTCATCACTCTCGTTACCAACCTCATGGGTAATGCTAGATTCGATGAAGTCAAGGAGATCTTTGCTACCAACCAGGAAGTGCTGCAGAGAGATGCATTCCCTGTTGTCCTGCGTGCTTCCCAAGAAGCTTTCGCATTGGCGTACAGGTGGCCATACTGGATCTCGATCGCTTTTGGTGGTGCTTGCTTCATCCTGAGCTTCTTCGTTGGAAACATTAGAGGCTTGTTGACGGCGAAGGTCGCTCATCCCGTTTAAGCAAGGGGGGAAGCTTGCTTGTAATGCTTGAGATGTCTGGGTAGTCGCTCTGAAGGCGGTGAGTCAGATGTAGATACAGCAGCTCTCAAATGACATTCGCTTTGTTGAAGATATTGAGTGTGACTTGGAAGTTGAACTCTTGCATTCTTATTTGCACTTGCATACAGTGACATCGTCGGAGCGGTCACACAATTTGGTGGATTCGTAGTATAGTGATAACTTTTCTTGATTAATTTTTAACTTTTATACTTTTTGAGACACATATCATGTGTGGGTGAACGGCACACCGGGTATATAACGCCACCAGCAATGCCAGCATAACTTCGCCTCCGCTAACTTTGCAGCCAAATTTTGAGAAAAGAAAAGAACAAACAGAAAGGAAGAGCGGGCTCGCTCAGGTACGCCCCGCCATGCTTAATAATCCACCGGCGACTACTCCAGCGCCCATTATACCAATCTGCGTCCAGGGCACTTGGCCCACGTAGAGCCAGCTCTTTGAGACGGCGCCGACAACATAGTCCAGTGAGACAGAGCTATGCTTTGCATGCTTCGTATGCCGACGACTGGACAATGGCGAAATTGAAGGAAGGGTGGGGTCGTATTTTGGAGGATCGGTCCAGCGCCGGGAGGAGGTTTTGGAAGTGGCGACTACCGTGTCTGCGGTACTAATCTCTTCCTTTGGGAGGGAGGCTTCACCAGCGGGTATGCTAGGGAAAGTGAAGGCTGAATTGAGGGTACCGCGTGATTCGTCTTTGACAGAAACGACTTGATCATCCTCTTCAGTCAAATCAGATACAGTGGCTCTTGTTGAAGATAAAGGTGTCGCAGGACTGGAAAGATAGTCTTGCGTGCTTTGCTCATCCTCGGGTGGTGTAATGACGAGGACAAACTCTGTGTTCTCCATGACATCCGATAATGTATCCAGCTCATCATCGATGCCGAAGTTTTCTTGTTGATCTCCAAAGTCCTCGTCGTCTTCATCGTCTTCAAAAGCGTCCTCGACACGCTGCTCAAACTTGGCAGTTTGCCTAAATGTGTTGAGCGCGTCCATGGATTCCGTCCGACAAATCGTCTTACGGCGCCTGGATGACAAGCTTAGTCGTGCATTGAAGGAATTGAAGGCGTTTTGCGCCCCTACGCTGTCCGCTTTGTTGAAGGTTTCGAAAAAGGGAGTGTCTGGTGGTGAAGAGGAAACATAGCCCTCATCGCTGGGCTCAGAGTCGGTTTCATCCTGACTCTGCGACTGATCACACCCGTCATCGTCTCCAAATACGACGTCGTTGAAGTCCAGCTCCTCTTCTTTGTCGGCGAATGGGCGGGTAATCGCGAACGTTGTTTCGTTGTCCTCCACTGATGCAGTGGTTGTCGGCGACATCTCTTCGTCGTGAACAGGACCGTTGTATGGCTCGTAAGCCTCTTCATCCCAGCCGTCGTCCGAATCGCTATCATCATCATCTGACATGTCGTCTCCAGTCTCGGCTTTCTGCTCTTGAGCCTTGAACTGGTGGTAAAAGTTCTCAAGTTCTGTCCTGGAGAACCACTGGAACTGATCAATATGGTTGGTGATTTGATCATCAATCATGCGATCAATCTCCTCGTTCATCTCGCGATCGGCGTCTTCTACCGCCCCTTCTTCGGGGTCGACAATGTCATCGATCTCGTGCGCATTGTCGATGGAAGTGACGATGTTCAAGGGCGAATTACGATAGACCCTTTTAGAAGAAAAACCTCTATGTTTCATCTTCCAGTCCCGGAACCCTCTCGCATAGTAAGACCGGTGGCCAGGGTTTTCGCTCAATTCTGGATAGGCTGGGACGTCGGAATCTTCTTTACCTTCATAAGAAGGACCAATAGCGTGCGTGATAAAGATGTACCGCGCAGACATAACCTGATGTTCTGGACTGCAGCCAAGTACGGCGATATGCCAGTGCTCAGCTGGCGGCTCAACAACTGGCTCTGCCTCTGCCTCCGGGGTAGGCTCCGCGTCTGACGACTCCTGGATGGCGGGAGGATCCCAATAGGCGCGCTCGTTGGAGATGCGGGATAGCGTGTAGACTTCGCCTTCCTTCGTGTCATCTCCAGTGGAAGCGACCTGGAGAGGGCCTAGCTCGGCGGCAGTGGGCGCGGAGGTGTCGACGGTAGCATTCCAGCTATCCAAGTCAAATTCGTCCTCGTCGTCGTCGGCCCAGTTGAATTTCTGGTTGACACTAGCGACTGTGTCGGAAGCCATGATTGCTTGTGTGACTGTTTTGGTTTGGTGATCGTAAGTGGTAACCGAAGGGTCGTTGTCGTATCAAGTTCAGTAATGGCCGGCGAGATCGCAGTGCGGTTGGAACTACGCGATAATGTGATGGAAAGAGTGACGTAAGCCAGACAGTTGCAAACTTGTTCGTGGGTGTGCGATGGTGAGAGTCCGCTTGCTTACACAGTCTTGGCGTTGGAAATGTGCGCGGTGGTGGTCGATGCGCAGTCGTTCGTAAAGAGGGAAACGACGAGCGGGCTAATTAGTGAAATTTGTAAAGAATGAGAAACCGAAGACATTTTGGCAAGTGAGAGCGTTGTGTGGTGACGTCGCGACAGTGGATGACCCTTGATCAAACCAGGGTTCACTCCTCGTGGGCTTAGTCATTCACGACCACACTTTGGAATTCACGCAAAATGCTTGGAGTGCAATGAGGGCACATGGCAGGGCTTATATTCATACAGGAAATGCTATTGATGCATGCAGGTGGGTATCTAGAAACGAGGTTTCATGGCGCGCCAAAAGAGAATTCAAGTAAAAGCAAAGATGCTCTACAAAATACGTCTGTGTCGTCCAATGAAAAGCGTTGCACAGGGGCTTTCCAATCAATTCCAACGCATCTACCATGTCCCCAACATGTGTTCGGTCTGAAGTGGGCCCAAACGCTCGCCGAACCATCGTTCCGGGTGGATTGCGGAGGCAGCGTGAACGGTCCGTGAGACCAGTCGGATCACCTAAAGAGTTCCGACGCAGATCCAGTTCCCCAGCCGACCATCTAGAGGATGCTGTCGATCTTCTGGAACGGATGTCGGCTCGACAGCGCAGCTGGCAACACGCGCCAAGCAGTCCGTGAGAATTGTTTCGTCGCTTTGACATAGTCGTGGGTAGCCTGCTTTGTGTTTTGGGGTATTTTCTTGAGACAATGCTTCATCTTGCTAGTCCACTTGCGACGCGGTTTCGCGCAACCATCCAAGGGTTCTGACCAACATTCGGAATAAACATCCGAATTAATAGCGACATATTCAATAAAATCGGCGGCTTCCTCGTACATAAGCGGAGCCGTATACGGGCGGTTGGCGATGACTTCAGGCCGCATGGGTTCGTCATTGTCCGTAGTTTCCGTTAGCGACGCACGTAGCTGTGAGAGCTCTTCTACGTCGCAGTTCTCGGATTCATTCCTCGTGATGGAGTTCTGGGCGTCTTCAAAGTCGTTTCCAATGCGCTCGGGTGCGTTGGGCCAGCTTTCATCCTCCCACATCTGCAGCCCACTAGACCATTCTTTGGTGGTGGTAATAGGTGGACTGAGTGCACTCTTACCACCCCGCACAGTGCCACCTGCACAATCTTGAAAGTGTTCGCTTTTTGGAAAAATACCTGCAATAGAAGGACTGCATACTGTCGTTACTGAGTCTTCGTGGCCTTGTTCGCACTTTTCAGTATCGTTGTCGACACCTGATGCGTTCATGAGCCGAGAATGTTCAGTTCGTGCAGTCTGTGGACGGCTGGTCCGGTAAGATGAAATGGATGTCGTGGAAGTGCATTTTGAGAACACTGAATTTCGGACGGATGAGTTGGTGTTCAGGGTGTCCTTAGATGATGAAGTGCGGATCTGAGCCGTGGCTTCGGGTTGGTTAGCGTACGGGGTGTCAACCGCATCCTTGATCTGCCCGGACTTTTCAGCTTCATAGCAGTCCGTCCCAAATCGTAGCAGTGAAGGGCCATGTACCATGCTGCATCCGGTATCAAGCTTGTATTCCAGCCATTCGCGACAATCAAAGCCTGTGCCATCACCAGCGCAATGTGTTATCCTGAAGCGCTCCTGTAGCATGTTAAGAGCGTCATCCGCTGAAAGTCTCCAAATTCCCTTATCATGTGTGGCGCAAGGGCTGTGACCCTCAAATTTTGGGTCGTAGCAGGGTTTGCGGACGACATTGTAGGTGGTGTCGGTAGGTATTGGGCACGAAGAAAGTGACGAGCACGAAGGCGCACGGCTGTCTTCAGCGTGAGCGATCAGAGACGCGAGTGAACGGTAACCGCTATGACGACGAAGTCGGGAGTTTCGCTTTGGTCCACATGGGTACGGTATATCGATGTTCTTGGGAGGCGCTAGTGTTGATGAGCGGGCATCACAGTATGTGCGGCCGGGTGGCGTGATTGACAGCGCTCCTGCTACATCTTCTAATTCCTCGACCTTTCTAGCAAATGACGAGATTGCGTTCTCGATCTTCAGTTCAAGATCCGTGTCGTCGTCTTCTGAGTCAGAGTCTGTCTCTGATCCAGCGCTGTCAAAGCTAGCATTCGCGATACATCGAGCCAGAGAGGGCGGACTCTGGGCGCGCATCAAGCGGGCTTGATGAGGTGTCTCAGTATCCAAAATGTTCTTATCCTTAAACTCTGTCGGCGCCACAGCCTTGGAGGTCGGAATCTTCTGCATGAAGTCGCAAACCCCACGCCATGAGCGATCCGCATCCTCATCCTCGTTGATGTACTCGCCCAGGTCAGTCTTCATATCCACGTCTAATATATCGAACTCTTCCTCTTGCTGTGCTTGACCAAAGAAGAAGACAGTTTTGGTGCCAGTCGCGGTGATGTGCTCGTGGCCCATCTGCTTAATGGCCTTGTACTGTCCGACAATGTAACCTTGTACATCTCGCTTTGTCTTCACGTCCATTAACGCGAAGCTCCTTACAATGCGCGGAAAGGAAGTGGGATGTTCAGGGGGATCATTGGCAGACGAATCGAAGGCTACATTGATCTCAGGCTGTGGGCCTGAATGATTAGATTGGCTGGGCGTCTTGTTTCCGGCTCCTTCATAGGCATAATTCGCGCGATGAGTTCCAACTGGCGATGCGGGAACTCGTAGTCGCGCCATGTTGTCTGTCGGTTGACCGCTGTGCTTACGTCCGTGGTGGTAGAAAACTCGGCGCTCAAACGCGCGCAGCTTGCATGATGGCCAGCTACTTGAGTTGAGTGTCGAGATGATGTGGGACGAAAGGCGTGGTCACTCACCACTATAGTGGGGTACAACTGGAGTCGGTGTGTACAAAAGCTGTGTGAGCGTTTGAGTTATCCAGAAGCGGGTCTCTCTTTTGCCAGCGCTCGCCACAGCAACGGCGGGGCGGGGCCCAGGCTATATTTTCATCTTTCACCTGTTCCGAACACAGTCCGCGTGAATGTGGAGACAAGAATTAAGAAGGGAGAGACATTGTGAGGAGACGGGAACAGATGGAGTCGCAAGCATGGAACATGAGGTAGGTCGTGGCCAGCAAACAGGTCTTTCATAACGAAGGTCGAATTCTGGATATTTGCTTCGTCTCTGAACTGCGGATAAGTAGTCGCTATGTACACATCGATCGCCGCATCTACTGACCGGTAGGTTTCCGGTGCATGACTGTCGCTGCCGCCTATACAACGTTAGTGTACTATGTTTCGTTCCTCCGGTTGCACATACCTGGTGGTTCGGGAAGATCAGACTATCAGCCAACACCACATTCTCCCTCCGTCCCGCAGCGAATACCACAACCTCGGCGATGTCCTCCGGTGTCAGCGGTTCAACGCCCTCGTAGACCTTCTTCGCCTTCTCTTTGTCGCCTCCAAACCTGACTACACTGAATTCTGTCTCAACTTGTCCAGGATCAATCTCGATGACGCGTATCCGTGTAGCGATAAGCTCCTTGCGCATGGCATCTGTGAAGGAGCGCACAGCAGCCTTTGTAGCGCAGTAGATGGATCCGCCTTGGTAGGGCTCGCGACCTGCGATACTACCAATGTTTATAATGTCGCCGGAGGGTGTGGATCGCGCTTTGAAGATGGGTAGGATGGCTTGCGTCATGTTGATTAAGCCGGTTACGTTCGTGCTGAACATGGTGTCGATATCGGCGGGCGAGATATCGGGAGCTTGCGCAACACCTTTTACAAGGCCGCTGGGTTGAAGTTAGCAAACGGTAGAAGATATCCGAGGAGGCGGTGGCATACGCGTTGTTGACGAGCACATCAATGTCCTTGTACTCTTGTGGCAGGTTTCCGACAAAGTTCTGGACTTCGTCCGGCTTGCTGACGTCAAGTTTGACTGGCAGGACCTTGACGCCTTTTGCAAAGCCTTGAATTTCCTGTGCGACCTCTTTCAATGTGTCTTCTCGCCGCGCAGTGAGGATAAGCTTGAGGTCGTCGGGCTGTGTCCGGGCGAATTCGATTGCTGTGGACTTGCCAATGCCAGAAGAAGCACCGGTGATGACGATAGTCTTGCCCTTTAGGCGCTCTGCCATCTTGGTCGGCATGTTTGCGGTATGTTGCCGGAGGATGTTCGATAGCTGGGTACTTGTAGGTGTGATGCGGGGCCGTAAGGGAGCTTGGGCGAAGGCAGTAGCAGTGCGGAGGAATTGGCGAGATGACGAGAGATTAGGCATGTACGCCGCAATGCTTTGTAATGCAGCAACTGATGTTTGCAGGACGTGGGGCAGGGGATTGGGGATTGGGAGACAGGAGGCAGCGGTTATGAGGTCGCCATCGGCGTATCTCCGAGGCTGCACGAGTCAGGCACCGAGGGGTAAGCACGACAATGTGGAGAGCTCTCGCGTCAAGGCATCGAGGACTGGCTGCAACCATCTCACAGTCACACACTGTCGGCAATGCATGTTGAGCTGATATTATCTGATTCATGCCTTTGCCATGTCTCAGGCGGGCTTCATGGAGACGTTTTATCGTCAATCCAAGTCATTATTTTCCTCCTCCAACTCCTAACACGCTGAGTATGTGTGCGGGGTATCGAAATCGTCATTCATCACAACGACTTTAGTTGGCGCCCTTCTTCTTGAGCATAGCCTCGTCCTCTTCCCTCAGCTCCTGGTCGATCTTGGCTCCCTTGGAGGGCTCGTTGCCGTGTGCGCGTGCGGGAAGGGTGGCATCTTGCTCGCGCTGGCGGTCCTCGAGAGACTTCTCCTCACCCTCCTTCTCACGCTTCTCCTCGCGCTCGAGCTTGTTGGCGATGGATCGCTCGTCCTCTGCGGGTGATTGTTAGTGAACGGTCTTGTAAAGAGATGGCTGATGACGCGGCATATCGACAGAGGAAAATGCACGCGAGGCCGAGAGAAACATACTGGAGTCCTGGGCCTTGTGAGAGTTGTCCTTGCCCTCGTGGAAGCGGGCCTCCTTCTTCTCCTGCTCGATCTCGGCGTTGGACCTGGTGACCTGGTCCTGGGCTTCGTAGACCGCACTGTTACCGACGTTGGAAGTTCCAGACATGTTGTATGTGTATGTTGGTGGAAGCGGGAAGAAGTGGAAGGTTTGTAAAGTGTAGTTTGAAGTGGGAAGTGGCAATTGATTGTGTCTGTTGTTGGGTGAGTGTGTCTTCTCCCCTCTTTATTAAGGGTCTGAAGTTTGCGCAGAGGCTAGGACCCATGATGACGTAGCTGGTAGCAATTACATCATGGTGGGGAAAACAAACACCAACCCATGGATATTTCGGGCGCCAAACGCAAGAAGCCTGATGACATGCATGAAGCCGATGTGGCACTGGGGCTGACGAAAATTGCATGCCTAGATATTGCGATCGCGGAATCCTTTGCTGGGCTAAGTGCGGCCTTGCGCAGAACACAATATGTATCCATCACGCGACAATTACGCGTAGCTCCTCTTGGTGATCCATCTATCAACAAGCGCCAGCGCTTCCTTCGGCTTGTCCAGCGGTACCAGATGGCCTGCTCCATTCACCGTAGCGAACGCAAATGTGGTATCTCTGCCGCTTGTAGTCACGGTCTTGACTTCTTTAAACCACCCCACCTCCTTGCCCTCATGTTCCCAGGACCTCTTTGGCTGTGCGACAAAAGCAGGTTGGCCTTTCCACTGCATCGTGCTAGCCCACTGCAAGTTCCCTGCGGTGTTGCAAGCAAGGTCCAAATTACCCTGGTAGAAGAGCACGTCGATGCCATGCTCGAGAAGATACAAAACCTGAGGCTGCATGCTGAATACCAGATCCCCAGTAAGCTCAAAAGCCAACGCAATATCAAAAGAGAACCCTGTGTAGTTGGCTATAGCTTTGGGTACGCCAAGCGCTTCCCAAACCTTCGGCACGTTCATGTAGTCTTGTATCCTTTGGATCTCTGGGTAGCAGAACTCGTCTTTCGTCTCGCACCCATCCGTGATATCAAATCTGTTGCGACCTCCTGCTCCAGACTCTCCATCGTAAAGGAGCACAACGCCTTCCATGCATACGTTGTCGGCTGCGAGACAGATGGCTGGATCAGGGTTCTTGTAGCACACGTCGATAAGTGCCATACAACGAGGGAGGTTGGTAGCTATGATGTCGCAACGGGTCTGGTTGAATACGGGAGTCTCCACACCGGGGTTCGTAGTGCACAGCGTTTCCCAGAAACCAAAGTTGGTGTCCCGAGGTGAGACAAAAGCGTTGCCCGTGAAGGTCGACTTGAGATTGACTTGCGGACGCTTAGGATATTCAAGGTTCTTCGTGACAATTTCTGCGCCGAGTGTTGGAACGTAGTGGCCCTGTCTTCGATTAGTGAGTGTCTTGCGGGGTTAGCAACATGTGCTTACAGCATAACTTTCTCCTGTGATATGAAAGTCGCGATTCAAAAGATCCGGGAAGACTTCGCTCGTGAACAGCTGCAAGAAGTGATGCATATCCTCAGCAGCCGTGAAGCTTGTCGCAGGAAGCGGGATGCCCTCATCGACGTAGCTGAAACCCACACCAGCGGGCTGATCAACAAAGATGATGTTGGCGTTCTTGCTCCATCCGTATTCGTTGTGTACGGTACCGTTGCCAAACTCATTGATCGTGCAAGGTCCCAGTTCGCCCATCAGCCCAAGCATGCCTGAGCCACCCGGTCCTCCTGTTAGCCATAGCAGGAGCGGATCTTCGGAGGGTTTGTCCTGTGATTCGAAGTACCAGAAGAAGATGTGCTTTGAGCCGATGTCTAACCAGCCGGTGTATTGCTTGGAGCGCGCGTCACAAATAGTGTCGCTCTGTTGATGCTTTATGCGAATCGAATGGTGCTCGGAGAATGGACTTTGGTAGACCTGGAAGCCTTCCACTTCTGGCTTCTCCTGGAATGGGATTTGGGAGAACAAGGACGCTGTTGCAGTCGCGGCGAGCAGACTAGTAATGAAGAGCTTCATGGTTGGCAGGTGTACCCTGATGGGTTGACAATTGGTGCTCGACACGAGATGAAAACACCGGAATACAATTGGTAGAGTCAAGACAGGACGAAGATATCACACACACGGATTTATCGTCTGAGGATCACGCAGGCAGCAGGAAGATAAGATGGCTGGTTGCTGACGAAGAGGAGCAGCCTAATGACGCCCTCCTCGGCTGGAGCAGCCCGCGGCGATCGCCCTGTATCGACCAGGGTACACGACATCTTCAACACGACTACTGCACGCGACTAGACACCTCTCTTGGCCAATTTTTCGCGGCTGGAACGTGTCAACTCGCACTACCCACAGATATACTTGGCTATTCATATTTTGGACACGCAACTAGCCTCAAACAGCACGCTGGGAGGACTCGTCGATCCAGCGCCCATTTCACCAGACCAACAACTTCTTCCTTCACCATGCCCTACAACAACACCCCGATTGCGCCAAATAAGGAAATCACCGGCCATGTGTCGCTTCCTCGTAAGTAACAATTTACACATCTTCACTTCTCTCCACCGCCTTCGTCGTCACTCCGACCCTTTGCGTGCCTCTTAGAGACCACCCTACCACGGTGTAGTACTGCTGCGACTTGCGCCTGTGGTGGCCTCATAACGAACGACTGGTTCGCCTCCGCCTGTGTTGAGCGCAATGTCCTCAATTCCCCACGTCCCCATCACTCCCGTCTTTCCTCGTAGCAGACAATCAAGCTAACTCACT